GGGGGGGGGGGTGAGGGGGGGGGGGGGGGGGTGGGGGGGGGGGGGGGGGGGGGGGGGGGGGGGGGGGTCAGCACGGTCATTATCCTGTGTGCAACAGCTGTGCTGCAGCGCGCTGTTAAATGCCCAGTGTTAACACGGTGTCGCTGTACATTTCAGGCTTACCTGGACGAACTGGTGGAGCTGCACAAGAGGCTGATGACACTGAGAGAGGGACACATTCTGCAACAGGTCAGCACACACACACACACACACACACACCTCGTCATTACTGCTAGCATTAGCTCCTTCAGTGCACTGAGCGCGGGGGATCACCAGACTGCAGAGTGATAATCCAACGGTGTGATGTGATGTCTCTGCCCGCTGTCACCGTTTCAGTTCATGCGTGTCCTCCAGCAGCTTCCTCTGGTGTCCTTGTCTGACCGATCCTTGTCTCCTTGTCAGTCCACTCGAAGTCAACTTTAAAGGATTTTTACCCTGCTATCAAAAAAAACAAAATCATCAATTTGTAGCGGGGGTTTAGGATTAAACCGTATTCCCACTTGACTGGTGCTAATGTGGCTATGAACTTTCCAATCAGGGAAAAGTTCCCACAGTCCCCTCACTCATCTCGGTGTAATCCATCAGGCCGGCGCTTTAGGTCGACTGTACTGCTGCACTGGATGAAAGGAGGAGCAGTAATCTGTAACAGATTCTCTCTCTAATCCGCACTTTCATCTGGAAGCAATGAATTATTGGGTTAACCTTGTTCCATCTCTAAGTGAATGCATGTTTCTTGCTCATATTTTCGGGGGCCCCCGTCACATGACACCATTAATGGATCTTCCCGGCGGCGGCACTGGCGTCTGCCAGATTCTGCACTGCTCTCCCAGTTTAGCGTCTGAATCCCATCCAAATTGCCGTCGCTCCCGCACGGCTTTGTCCCGCGCGGTAATCAGGCTAATCTCGCCCGGTTCACCGACCGACTTTACTTCCTGTTTTAAGAGATGGAAGTGATTAGGGCACAGCTACTATGGAGGACCACATATGTACAGGATGGAGCGCAAAGAGGGGAGCAGTGTGTAACTAGTCATCACCAAATGTTCGTACAACAGCACTCGTATCTCGATTGCGTTTTCCCCATTAAAAATAACTAAAAAAAACTAAAAAACTAAAAACTAAAAAAATTAATTCTTTACAGCCCCCCAAACTAAAGGTATACTATAAATATAAACAAATATACTATGTACTATAGATATAAACAAATATATATATATATATATATACATATATGTATGTCTATATATGTATATACAGTATGTATATATGTATATATGTGTATATATGTATATGTATATATGTGTATATGTATGTATGTATATATGTATATGTATGTATGTATATATGTATATATGTATATATATCTATGTATATATGTATATATATATGTATGTATATATATGTGTGTATATATAGTAGAGTAGAGTAGAGTAGAGTAGGGCTTTATTCATCCCCCTTGGGGGAAACATACTATATGTGTATATATGTATATATCTATGTATATATGTATGTATATATATGTGTATATATATATCTATGTATATATGTATGTATA